CCGGTTTTCCAAACCACTCAAAATTTCCGCTACCGGTTCTCCAGAACTGGTCAGAACCTGCTGAATACCACCTCTGGTTTTGCTTAGTAATGGAAATTCGAGTTCCAATTGTTGTGGTAATTTGAGGACTGATAACACTTGAGCCTGATCATTTAACTTTATAGTAAATTCCTAATCATTCTCAAGTGCAGCACAAAATTTCTGCCTAGAATTCTGGATCTGGACACAAAATTTATTTCTAGACTTCCAAGACACAGGAAAAGAATACAGAGTTCTACTATTTCTGCTGGAGAAGAAGACAGCTTTTCCCACTGTTTGACACAAAAATCACATCTAGAAAGTAATGAGGAATGTTGAAACTGGGCTTTTCCTGCTTATTCACCCTTTGTCCTTTTCCTTTTAAGCCATAAAGTAAAAGGAGATGGTTCCCCAGCCCCTACTAAATGTTATTTGTCCAGCTCTATAGAAACTAGCTACTGTAGTTGCAAATAGGGCAAAGTTCATTTTCCTGCCCTCTGGGCTACTTCTCCTGTCAAGTCATCTGTTTTTTTGGGGTGGTGGTGGTGGTGTTTGTTTGTCATATTACAGTAGAACCTTATTTTAACTCACTACTTGGAAGAAGGAGTGCCTATTATTAACCGATGTCACCGTTTATTTATATTTATTGGAACATTTCATAGAGATATGCAAGTGACTTCCGTCCTTCTTTTCAATAGAAAATTACAATCTTATTGTCCCTCCCACTTGAATATTTTGCAGATCCCTCAGTTGCCATTTTAGCCACCATCTTTCTTAATCTTCAAATCCATAAACCATCCAGTCTTTTTTTTTTTTACTTTCAGCTAAAAGTCCATATAAGATTTCCACTCATTTGAAAAAGATGTTCTCTGACAAAACCAGGTCAGTTTTACTCTTTCTACTAATTCCGATATTTTCACAATCCATTTCTCCACTGTGGGAATATTATTCTTCCATTGTTATGCATCAAATAAGCTTGCTGCAATTACCATCTAACATATCAATCTATCTTGAGTCTTTTTAAATTAAGTCCCAATAAAAATAATTCTGCTTTTAGCAGTATTAATCTTTAAGATCCTTTGCATCATACTTTCTATCCAAAATGTTTTGGTTAACAAATATCTCATCAGATGGAAAATCCTCAGTGTCGCATTGTTTTCATAATGACTTCGTTATAAAACAAAATTAATTGGTGCAGAAAATCAGTTCATCATATGCAGGTCTGGTAATTTGAGGGTGCATTGTATTTTGCAAAGGGGTGGATAGGCTGAGACAAATCAGCCTGAAGAAGAGAGGCAGTTCTGACCAAAAAAAATCCCACCCATTAAGTAGGAGTGACCTGAATGATGGATGGTTTCCCAGGGAAGGCTGAAAAGCAATAAAAGAAATATCCCCTCGCCTCTAGCAAATGGTACATTCACAATAAACTATTTAGCAGTGGTTCAGAACAAATGCAGGATCATTATTGGCAAAAGGGACAATTATTGTTAACCTGGCCTTGTGGATAAAAAGCATTTTAACTTGTGGCCAGGAATGTCATATATGTAAATGCTAGGTGAGACTGAACCATAATGGCAGACTCAAGAGTTCTTAATGCAAAAATTTTAATTGAATCCTCTCCTTAAAAAATGTTCAGGAGTCCTGGGTATCCTCACATTGGAATTCTTCACAATCCATGAGAAAATACTACCGCTGTGGAAATTACATGCTATATTACTAGGCATCAAGATTTGTATAAAAATATGGGATAAGCTTCCTCCTAGGATGCAAAGAAAGGAAAAACTGATCAATGCTGCACATACAGAAATTAACTTAGTTCTTAATAGATTACAATTGCTACTAAAATCAATTTCATCACACCCACAATATACTTCCCTTAAAAATTCCCAATGCAGCAGGAGACTTGGTAATACTAGAGAAGCCTAACAAGTTGAATATATCATTTCTTTCCAATTTTAAATTAGCACTAGACAACCCATGTCCTCTTGGTCATGGTTTCAGAGACATTTCCTTACCCAAATAGAAAAATAGAATGACCACAGGTAGGCAAAAAGAAGCAGTGAGAGTAGAAGTGACTACTGACTTCCTGTCAGCTTCCCCATTGAGTGTCCTTGTGGGAAGCTTCCAGGGAACATCAGAAACCTCCCTTCCTTCCCAGCAGGCAGGTAACTAGCTGATGCAGGCAGGTAACTGGCTGGTGCAGGCAGGTAACTGGCTGGTGCAGGGGGAGTGAGGGAGCAAGGGCATGCAAAACTGGCTGGAAAGCTGTCACAGAATATTGAAAATGAAGGTCATGTTCTGCAGCAGCAGCAGCAGCAGCTCAGTCATGCAAAAGCAACCACAATTTCCCCAAATTTCATTCCATTGGCATTTTGGACACATTCTCTAAGTTATCCCATTTGAGGTACTTTGGTTCAAAAATTGTTGCCCTATGCTGCATTGTTTCACCCAATTAAAGACAACAATAAGAGTTTTAGTAGTATTTAAGATAGTAATAACATCTGCCATCAATCAGTTCCTCAGCTGTGTTGCTTTTTGCTCTGCAACACATACATACAGTAGCAATGCTGAAATTAAGCCACGTGTAATTGGTAAGATAACTCTTTAAAACTGCTCAAAATTTAGGAAGATCATCAATTTTTTTAAAAAAATATTATTACCGCCTTTAGCTTTTTTCATTGGAGGGGGCTGATTTAACACTCCTTAATAATGGTTATAGCAAATTCTTACAAGGCCTTGTCCCAAATGGAAGCTTGTAGAGAAATAAGACCCAATCAAGGAAAGCCTCTCAATTGCTTGGTATTATTATGGAAAGGTTTTACTGGTAGTCCTTGACTTAAAACAATTAATGTTGTAACTGTCCAAAGTTACAACAGCACTGTAAAAAGTGACTTATGACCGTTTTTCACACTTACTACTATTGCAGCATCTCCATGGTCACCTGATCAAAATTCAGATACTTGGCAACTGACTCATGTTTATGACAGTTGCAGTTTTCCTGGATCATGTGATCACCTTTTGTGACCATCTGCAAGCAGTTATATTCATGTGATGAGGCCAACCCCATCAGTTAAACCCAGGGAAGGACATAAATCTTAGGGATTCTGTACTGGGAAGGAGAAACAAGTGATTTCATCAGCCAATCAGCATACTCAAAATTCTGCATTTTCAGTGCCCTCATTATAACAATGCACTTCCTTAGCTATTCAGGTCAACCGCCATTTCACTACACAGTAATTACAAGGTACACCAAGATATTACAAGGTGAGGAAAGGCTCCAGTGGAGCTGTATTCCTTACACTTCTTCCACATCCCAGAAACAACAAAAGAATCCTGAAGCTTAAAATGTAATACTCAGTAAAAGTCAGATCTATGCAAATCCCCAAGAACTGATCTTTTTTTAATATGGCCTCCATCTGATACTATCAAATTGCACATCACAACCAATAATAAAATCACAGATATGCAGTGTTTGTACTATCACAGATATTTTTTTTCATATGGCCTCCATCTGATACTATCAAATTGCACATCACAACCAATAATAAAATCACAGATATGCAGTGTTTGTACTATCACAGACTTATTATATTTTTATTTATATTTCATATTTCTAAACCCTTATCTCTCTCAAGGATCCTATATCTCTATTAAAGAAGCAGATCACACCTGTTTGCAAAAACCTGAATCCTAGCCCACTGTTGGAAGAAAAATTGGTCCGTTTCCAAGCTGGGAGAAAGACGTTGAAAATTAAATGGAGGCAGGCCGCATGGAAAAAAGGTCTGTTTATTTGGTTTTCCAGAAACTTCAGTGACAGCATGTTTCTGGATAGGGTGACCAATTGGCTGAGTGAGTGAGTAGATTTTTATAGGGTTCTGGGGTTTGGTGATTGAGATGCTCCAGGGGGTTGTGCAATGTGGTGAGCCTTGTCTTTTGCTATTCTAATGGTGCAGGTAAATCCTATTATGTCTTAAAGGTCACGCCCTGTCCTTAGAATTTGGGTGGGGGGATGTAGATTTTTAGGAGTCTTTGTTTTTCTACTTTTTTTTTTAAATACCATCTACTTCAGCCTTCTGTGGGAGCTTGTGGCTGAAGGTGTTTTCTTTATGAATAGTTTAGCCTAGTCTTTCTGAATGGATTAAAAAATGTCCATTCCAAAAGACCAGTTTCTTCTGCTTGAGGCTTTCCTATGACAGGAAGAGGTTTCTGCCTTTTAAGAACCTGTTTCTCAATTTCTCCTTTGGGGGAATATAATATTCTTCCTCTTTTAATATTCTCCAAAATATTTCATTCTCTAGGGGGAGGGCTTCCCACACCACATAAATCTGATGTTTTTGGAATAAAAATGTGACTGTCAATCACCAGTCTTCACATTTGGATGTCAATAATAGCTCTGAAATGTAAATCGCCATCAAAACACGTCCATCTGCACAGAATGAGCCATAAAGGTGACACCTTGCAGAATTTGTAGCCATTTAACTGCGATTTAGCAAGGCAGAACTTAAGCTACCCTAAACAGAAGAATCCTGAGATTGTTTGATTTTTGTTTTGTTTTTTAAAAAAGTACCCTTCAGTTATGCTGGATTTGCACATCACGTTCGACTAAGATGTGATCGAATGGTGTGGGGCTCCGCGGATTGCGAGACCCCAAACGCTATGAGAGGTTCACGGGTGAGCATATTGTGTCAGCCAGATCACCAGCGGTTTATTCGGCAAACCACGGCTCAGGTTTAGCTGATATTTCATATGGGTATATAGACCGTTTAGTCAACATTTCCTATGGGTATAGAGACAGACAAGGGAGCAAAACCACCGTCCGCTCCGCGGCCGGCTTCCACCCATCTGAATTCCCCAGGGCTTGGGCTGGGATTCCTGCTTCTTCTTGCGGCACCTACGTCACCAGTAAGTTCGGCCGGAAAGGCGGCCGCAAACCTGCAAGGCCGGAGGCGGGGCTGGCTGAAACGAGGGGCGGGGCTTGCGCGCCGGGGCTTGAATGGCCCCCCTTGTCCGGGAGTGCGGAATTTTTTTTTTCTTTTTTTGCCGTCACAGCCCTGGGAAGCGCAGAGGCAAGATGGCGCCGGCAGCGGCAGCGAGCGGGGACCGGGGGCTGAAGAGCTTGGTGTGGCAGAGTGAGTGTCGAAGCCCGCTCTTTCTGACTTCCCTTCCCCAGCAGCTGAGCTCTCCTTCTTTCCTTCCGCGCTCAGCAAAGCCTGCGGTGACGGGTTTTGCCCGACGGCCTTTGGGCGGGCGTCCTCTGCCTGGCACAGTCGCCGAGGGCGCGGAGACCGGGAAACGTGCAAATGCAGGATCGGTCTTCGTGAGGCGACAAGTTCGGGCTGGGGGGGGGGGGTGGGATGGGGTTAACGCCTTCGTTTGGGGTCGCGGCCCCGCGTCTGGAGCCCTCGATGCGGCTTCATTTTTTTTTCCGCCTCGGGAAGCGCTTCACCTGCTACATCTGTAAGCATGTCGCCGTCTTTTAAAAGTCGGTTTCCCACACTTTCTTCTCACGGCCACTCCTATTCGCATTCTTTCTGGTCCCTCAGAGGGGCATACTTGGATGCATCTTCTCTTGCATTTTTTAAGCTTGCCTTTTGAAAGGTCGTCCAGTTATTAAAAAATAATATACTGATCTGAGCTGTGGAAATGGCTTTGGCTGACGTGTGTGTGTGTGTGTGTGTATACATATATATGCACACACACACACACACACACATATATATTTCATGTATATATGAAAAAAGCCCAAGGTCTTTTAAATTCATTCACATCCTTAGTAGGGATGGAGAGTGCAGTATGTATTACCCAGCTCTGGGCAGGTTGCTACTGCAATGGTAGAGAAAATGATAATCAGATGGGTGACTTAGGATGGAAAAGAGAAGAGTTCAAGATAGAAATTGATGGTGCTATTTTAGAACTGGCATTTTAGAATTTAATTTATCTGCACCTGGCTTTTACAGAAGCAGAAGAGATTAATAAATGAAAAGAACCCAGTATGGATGGTGTATTTCCACATATGCCTGAACCTTGATCAACCATAATTTATTTCCTTGGAATAATGCAACCATTTTAATAATGGTTAAAAAAAAACCTAAAGGTGCCACAGAATGTTTATTAAAAATTAATTTATGCTCCCTGCCTTCAAGGAGCTCAGGATGCAGTAGGTGGATTGATGACATTTTTATCTAGAGCAATCATAGAAGATAAACTAGGTCAATTTTCAACCACATTGTACAATTCAGAGTTGGGAAGCAAACTGAATCAGATCTGAACACACCATGAGGTGACTGCTTTCAGGTGATGATAGTATTTTATTTGCAACTGACAGTTCTTATCCTGGAATGGAATTAAGCCATTGAATTGTATGTAAAGTGAAATGGGTGAAGTCTGATGGTCGATTTAAAGTTCAGCTCTTATTTATTTAGATTTATTTTCAAAGCTCTACATACAAGATTGTGCTATATGTATGCTTTCAACTTGGTCATCTCTTCTGAAACTAAAGATAAGGGTCATACTTGAAGGATTGTTAAATGAAAGAATCCTTTATCTGATTGTGCCCTGTGGAATGCATTTGTGGTATTTGTACATATTTCTTAATATTTTGTTTTGAGGAAAAATAATGAAAACGTTGCACACAGATCAGCATGGTTGTCGCATTGTTTTTTCTGATCTTACTGCTTTACTTCTGGTATGATGTTTCCTTTTTTAAAAAAAAAATGACTTGTTAGCTGTGTTCACGTAACATGCTTACCTTAATTTAATTGCAGTTTATTAAATAAATGCCATAGCAAAATTAAGATATCTCACCATACATATTTACATGAATTGCTCCTTTTCTGTATTTATACATTAATCTGATGTAGATTCCCTAAAACAAATCTTGGCCTTTTGCTGGTTTAGTTTGGAGGAGCTTTAACATAGATTTTAATTAAAAATTGCAATACCTTCTTTTGGATATACCTTTTTGCTCTGAAAAAAAATGAAGTAAGAATTGTTAATTACAGGTGTTTCCAGTAACTCAGTAGGAAACAGGCACATGCTTACCTTCAGAAATGAACTTGAAAAAATTCTTAAGGGGATGGACTAAGAAGCTATTGCTTCCCCTCAGAGCATTCTTGTTCCTTTTCTGTTCTGCGTTGTTCCAATATATGAACTCAAATGTTTTGCGGATAAAGGCTAATTACACTTTTCCTCTTATGATAAATTGTAAAGTGAAATATAAATGGTTGCAACTTTATAGTACATTTAGAAAAAATAATTACTGCCAGGAGAAACAGTGCCTGCTATAAATTCATTTAATTTCATTGACAGTAAAGCCAAATTGCATTACCCCTGGAAAGTTTGAAAGAAAAGATCTGGAAGAATAATTATGATTTTGTGTAAAGATTAAGGATACAGCATTGTATCAAGCCTTTTTTACATCAGAGAACCTGTTACAAACATCTTTGGAACCCCTTATCAAGAATGTGTGCTGAGTGTCAGCTGAGAAGCCTCATAGTGACTAAGGAAAGACTAAGGAAAGTGGGAGAAAACTGCAAGAGAATAAAACGTTTGTTTCTCCTTAGTTTCATGGAACCCATTCAAATTCTTGCAAAATCCCAGTTTGAAAAAAAACCCTACCGTAGTATAGAACTTTAATTCAGAAAGTATTATAGGAAAGCTGCAATTGCAAGAATAAAAAACCCTTTATGATAATTAGTTTCCATATGATACATTTACTGGTAAATACATAAATATAACATAGTATGTAAAAATGGGAAATTAACAAAGTCCATCTGGCTGATAAAAGTGTATGCTTGTATGTTTGGTACTTGATTTTTGTTTTAAAATAATCATAACCTACATTGTGGATGCAAACATTCTGAAAATATTAAAAACCAAGGAACTGATTCTTTGATATGTTGTTGCACAGGCCATATTTGTGATCTAAAGAAATAAGCTATGAATTGTCTTGTAACATCTAAGTTGTTTAGGCAGATTTTTTAATATTGCTCTATTGAATTTCAGGATGATTAGCATATAGTCCATATATTCATGATTTTAAAGACAGGTCTTTATCCTATTTATAAATGGATAAGTTTATATTCATTTTATATATTCCATGATTTTTGTATTTATAAGACCATGTAAAAGTCAATTTATGAGACCAACTAAATGATTTCAGGATTTTTCTGTCATTCAGGAAAGTATAACTGGCTTGATAGAATTATACCATTGCTCTTGGTACCTATTTCCATCCTTGGTGGACATGCCCTAAGATTAAAAAATATTGGGCAAGGATAAGAATATGGATAGAAGAAATTATCAAATGTGGGCTGGAGTGGAAACCGGAACTGTTCCTCCTGGGAATGATTAAAGGGGAATACCCTCCCAAAGTGAGATATCTGATCATCCACTTATTAACAGCGGCACGAATTTCTTTTGCGCAATATTGGAAAAGGCCCGATGTACCACCGATGCACATTATTATTAAAAAAAAGCTATGAATGCGCCGAAATGGAGAGGCTCACGCTCAAAATAAATGGGAAGGAAGAGTCAGAGTATTATTTGGTTTGGGATAAGTGGTACAGCTGGGTAGAGCGCAACAAAAAAGATATACAGGATAAATGAACCCAGGACATATATTGTATATATTGAATGTATAATAATAATGATTTCAAGCTTCTTGTCTATTATATAAATATTATGAAGGCTCCATTCGATTAACCAATACAGTTATAATCCAATAGTAATAGGAGAATAATATAGTATTTATTAACTAATAGGTAAGTGATAAGGGATAAGGAATACTTGCCAATGATTACTTACTACTGTTTACTATGAGCTATTAATCTTAATATCAAATGTAATAGAAAGAAATATGTTTATTGTTCTAGTTATATATTTTTTATTCTTACATATTTGTATGTTTGTTTGTGTTTTAATCTTTTGTAAATAAAGTCTATTTTAAAGCTAAAAAAAAAGAATTATACCATTGCTTTGTTTTCTAATCTAGTGAGAAGAGATAAAGAAGGTTAAGGCTTGACTTCTTAGACTTAGTAGCAATTATATAAATGAATCTGTAGGAAATATACCTGTTTTAGTTTTGCATATAGTTACTTCATTTGCATGACATACTAGCAGTAAAGGTCAATGGATGAGTATACTACTTTGTAAATTAAGTTTAGTTCTTTGTCATTCAAAATAGGGACTGTTTCAGATTCACTTAGTACAGTAGACCTCAAGTTACAAAGCTCTTATATAGGTTCATTATCCAAGTTCTACACTGGTAGTTCATGCAAACACAGTGATTTTTTTTATTCTTCTAGTATTGACCTAAAGTTTTTTGTGCTTGCCCTGCAAATTTGGAATTGGAAAGCAGAAATAAGATGTGCAGGATATGAAAGCCATGCTTTCTTATTGTATCTATGTTAAAATAAGTCAGATTTAATTAGATTATTAGAATAAGATGCCAACATATTAATAATTTTTCTTGTTTTTACAGTACTTTATAGTACATTGCACTACACTGCACTTTGTAATGCTGACTACTTAATTCTTAAATGTTATATATGACATTGCATGGGACTGTTATTTTTAATGTAGTTCATTCTACTGTAAACCTTTCTTTTCTCTATTATTTCATTTTAACCATAATATTTTTTTTTCTTTTAGAACTAAAAGCATCAGTGTTTGATGACTGTAGAAAAGAGGAAGAATGGAAGGTAAGAAAAATAATTGAACTGGTTTATCTATGACTTATATAGTATATTTTAAACATAATTAATTCGAGGTACATCTCAATGTGTAATGGGAAAGGGTGGTAATTGGAAGCTTTTGTAGGAGTATAATGGGTCCATAGTTCTTTGGAGGAAGTCCTATGGCTATAACTGCTAATCATCTGCATTATTGACCACTTATTATGGCATCTTCATCCAGGTCTGTGGGAATTACTCTGCTTGGGATAGCTTGCTGGAACTCCTATTGGATCTGGGTCTGGACTTGTAGGGAGAAGTAGTGGGAACAGCAACACTGAGGTTGGCTGTAACAGCAGAATAGTGCTACAGTTGAAATTGTACAATAGCTTCTGGCAGGGGCTGCCACTCAGCTGTTTGGAGATGCATCTGTTAGAGTTACATTAGAGAAGACCCTCTCCTTCACAGCAGCATGAATGTGATTTGTTACTGTGACACCTGATGGGCAGGGTAGATGGACTGTCCTGGTAGAACTGTGTTCCTTCACTTGTGTTGACAGTTGAGAATTGTTGCACTTTGGCGTAATGGGATTAGGAGTCATCTCGTAGTCCTGTGAAAATGCTATCCAGTATCCTGTGGAATGTCAGGGTGCTTAAAGGACAGTCACCTTCTTATTCTGTCAGTATAAGGGTCCAGAAAGGAGAAGCAGTGATTTCATCTATTTCAATTCACAAGAGGAGCTGAAGAAGTTTGATCAGTCAACAGAAAAGTCCTTGAAGAGTGCATAGTTGAGCTGAAGCTTGACATTCTGTTTCCTAGTGTATAAGGAAAAATTGGAAATTCCTGAAGGAATAGTATTTACCCCAATATACAACTGGTCTTAACCCTACAGGGCTTTAAAGAGATAGTTAAGACCAGTGGTGGGATTCAGTTTGTTTTTATTACCGGTTCTGTGGGCGTGGCTTGGTGGGCGTGGCAGGGGAAGAATACTGTAAAATCTCCAGTCAGAGGTGGTATTTACCTGTTCTCCGAACTACTCAAAATTTCCACTACTGGTTCTTCAGAACTGGTCAGAACCTGATGAATACCACCTTGGTTAAGACTGGTCTCTTGAGATCAGGATGAATTGAATTCCAGCTGAGGAAGATTTCATTTCTGATTGCCATTTTAATAAAATATGTATTGACTGATTATGCTTTGCTCATCTTGTTTGTACACTGCCCAGAGTCATCTGGTTTGAGTTGGGTGTCCATATAAATGCTATAATAAACAAATAAATCAACTGGTTGGTATTATAGGTAGTTCTTATTGATGAACCACTTGTTTAACAGCATTCAAAGTTACAACGGTGCTGAATGATGAGGACTTATGACAGGTCCTTATACTTATGGCCATCATAATGTCTCTGCATCATGTGATTATTATTTGTGATTTTTACTGCTGTTTTCTGACAAGGTCAATAGGGAAGCCAGCTGTTATGCCACTGTTGGAATCCAATTCCAAGGGAGAGGTTGAACAGCTGACAGGGAATGGGAGTATGGCTCTGGTGGCTATGGAGGAAACTGGGGAAGGGCACAGTCCGTGCAGGCATTCAGAGGAAGACGCAGGCCCATCCCCTCTTCATCCTAGGGCACAGAGGGAGGAATGGATAAGGGAGCAACGTGGGTTACAGGGGAGAAAAAGGCCCTCATTCCCTTCATTGGCCACAGCTGGGAAGACAGGATTTTAAAAGGGTGTTTGCGCACAGCTCCTTGCTGAAAGCAAAGCGTGAATTATTTTGGTTTGTCAAGTCTTAACTGGGTTCTGGCGTCCTCCCAACTGTTTGTGTTTTGTTATCTTTTGAAGTCTTCAATTCCTTATCCTGCCCCGTCTCATTAATTGCTGCAGCATGGTTTGTGTTGGTTTTTATTTATAATCTATATGTACTTTGGGTTTGAACTGCATTTCTTTCCTTTGCAAACTATTCTTGGGAGAGTTTTTTCTCCAGCCGATAACTGGATATTGGGGGCCAAGTTGGATGAATTAAAGGGACTTTACCTATTTTTGTGACCTTGTTCCTTTTGTGCCACGCCCCGGGTCATCATACCAGCAGAAAGTTACAAATGGCAACCACATGACTGGGTGGTTGCACAGGATTTACCTAATAATGGCAATTGAGACTGATGCAACTACCATCATAAGATGTTTTAGTCACATGAGGTCACACTTTACAACTGTACCTTAATGACAGAATTGCCCGTCCCCATTACCATTGTTAAGTGAGAACTATGTTTTGAAATCATAAGAGACTAGATATTTGTGTCGAGTACTTCTAATGTTTCTCTGTACATGTAATATTTGAACTATGACCAGTCATTTAATGACCCCAGTCACAAAAGCTTCAGAACAGGTACTTTACAAATGCCAGCCTTCCCCCCCCCCACCCCCGCATCATATTTGGGGTGTTTGGCAACCTGTTTGCATTTACAACCAGTTACTGAGTCCCTGTGATCGTGTAATTACCATTTGCAATATTTTCTGCTGGCTTCCCCAGAAAGTCAATTGGAAAATAAGCAGAGAAGGTTGCGGGCAGAGTGACATTGGATCTGAGATCCATTCCTCCCAATGTGCTGTGGGATTTCCTCTCCCTTCCTCTTTCAGGGAGGTGAAATCTTTCTGTGTGCTGAAAGAACAGACCTTAGATCTTGTGAAAACACTGGATCCTAGGGAAGACCAACGTTCTGAGCTTTTCAAAATGTTGGCCTTCCGTAGCATTTTCCCCTTCAAACACCAACTTTGTGAAAGGCTTAGAATGCTGGCTTTTGTTTACTTTTTCATTTCCCCTCTGAAGGGGAAAACACTAATGAAGGCCAGCATTAATGTTTCCTTTCTCAGTGTGCTAGAACAGAGTTGTCAAACTCAAGGTCCAGGGGCTGGATCTGGCCTGTGGGACTGCCCTGGAAACAGCAAAGGACTGGCCTGTGGTGCCTCTGCCAGAGAAAACAGAGCTCAGGGAGGTCATGCAAGGCCCAGCCGGGCTCCATTTTCAACCACAATGGCCTCCTACAGCCCTCTGCCAGCGAAAATGGAGGCCCACTACAGGAGGCCATTGTGGTCAAAAATGGAGCCTCGACAAGTGACAGCGAGCTGGTCACAACCCTTCCTGGTCCCCCAAGATCAAACAGAACCCTAATGCGGCCCTCAGTGAAATTGAGTTTGACACCCCTGTGCTAGAGGAATTGACCTCAGATCTCGTGAAAATACTAGCCAATGTCATCTGTCATGCCCCCGCCGGAGGCTGAATCTTCAGGGGAAGATGAGCTGGAACAAGAGCCAACAGAGATTGAGAGGGCGGCTCTGTTGGCCTTGGAGGAAACTGGGGAAAGGCAGAATCAGTCCAGGCAAGGCTGTTTTGAATTAGTAACGCCTGCATACAGGGAGAGTTCAGGAGAAGAGCAGGGATTACCCTCTTCTGATCCAAGAGCAAGGAGGGAAGAGAGACGATGAGATCAATGCAGATTGAGCCAGCTACGAGGGAGGAGAATGCCCCACCCCCTTTCACAAGGCATACCTGGGGACTGAGATGTAAGGAAGTGCCAGTGGGAGGGACATATGTCGGGAACAAGCATTGAATCTGAGGAGTCTTGGGTGCACTTGCCAATGTCTGGAGATTGTTGTGCTCTGTCTTGTGGGGCTTACCAGTTTGCCTGCTTCGCTGAACTTCTTGCTCTGTTTACTGGTTGCCTAACATGGCTTACTGGACTGCTGGCCCTGATTGCTCTGTGGCTACCCTTGCTTACTGGATTACTTGCAGCCAGAGACTTTTGAAGATTCATGTAAGAGCTTTGCTCCAGGGCTTGTGAATGTGGGAACGTTTGGGGGCACGTTTGGAGCAATAAAGGGGAGTTAGACCTGGTCTCTGGTTGTGTTGCTTTCATGCCGCACCCTGGGTCATCATGCCATCATTCTTAGAATTGTTTTCCCTGCTTTGCTCAAAGACCAAGGTTATGGGCCCAATTGTGGTTGTAAATGGAGGGCTATCTGTAATTCAAGGCAAAATAAAATGTGAATAGATTATTCAAATACAATTTACCTAAATTTGGGGCAGCTGTTGAATTATTGGAATGAGGTACATTTACATAGATATCTGAAGGAAAGTCCAGATGTTTAATTTGGAAGAGTGTGAATTCTTTTATAGAAAATGAAGTAAATAAAGATGTAGTTATTACAGATACTAATGCCAAAGAAATATGACATTTTAACCAAACAAAGATGTATACCTTTAAGATGTATATTCTTTTGAAACAGAACAGCTGGTTTGTACTTAAACAAATAGCTGGATAGCATGGTAAACCAAATTCAGTCAACACAGATTTTTTTTTTTGTTCACTACATGGAATATATAATTTTATTCCTTCCATGGAAACAATAGATTTGTTTCTGGACCCAATCATGGCATTTGCTTTTATTTTAAAAAAATTGGACCAGGATTTTTGATACATCACCTAATCTTATGCACGCATGGATCCAAGCATCTAAAAACTGTTTTATTATTATCCAACACAAAAATGAATTAAATTGGCATGGGACTGAGTATTCAGACACAATGCCACAGTTGTGAAATCACAGTTGGGAGACTTACATGGTTCAATTGTATATGAATCTACCTTTACTTTTGCTTTTTCATAGTAATAGAATCTGAATTGGTGGATCTCTGAAGCAAATATATTCATTAACTTGCACTTGTGGGACAAGAAGTTATATTTTTGTAGTATTTCTTTAATATAATCCTGCTGTTGCATACACACATTGGTCTCATTTGCACATTATGCTATAGCAAAGATTTATCCATAATTTGTTGAATAAGGTATTGTTGTCTGGATTGTATTATACATTAAATCCATATTACGGTTTAGCATAAAGTATGAATCCAGATAGCATTATTAAATTTATATGTTGTCCTTGCTATCAAGCAATTGTTTAAACACTGTAGATTATGTAGTATTATATACACTTGGGGAATTAAAAGCTTGGTGTGTACATTTTATCTCTGCATATGGTATATTAGTGAAAAATTTAGTACTTGCAATTGAGTTCAGTGTAAACTCATTCTAATATTGATAGTAGATGTAATGAGTGGTGATAATAGCTTTGATGAATATGAGAAAGAGCCATGGCCAAGAGAAGGGTCAGATAATTGATTTGTCATTATGGCATTGTAATCCTATAATAAAAAAATATTTTTAATATTCATGACTTTGTTGTTCAAGTCCACTCAACCTCAAAGATTGACAGTATATTACCAAAACATAATTTGAAGTCTAAGATGGTATCCAGTTGTCTGAACTACTGATTTGATTTTTAACTTTTATTTACAAAGATAATTCTTCTAGATGACTTTACTACTAAGCTGCTTTCATCATGTGGTAAAATGACAGACCTACTTGCGGAAGGGATAACTGGTAAGCATCTGCTAAGCGGAATTAATCATCCTGGTATAGTTTTTGCCAGTTAATACATTTGCAAAGTAAAAACTGTATTAAATTTTAAAACATAATTATTTTAAGAATTTCAAATAGAAAGAATAAAAGCGAATAAAAATACAAAAGAAACAAGTATTTTTAAAAAAGAGCAAAAAGAAAGGAAAAACATAAAGAATGTCCCCCTTTATACCAACAAGTAAAACAATGTTAATAGCTTTAAATACAACATAAACTCTTTTTATCACATAATTCATCTCTTTACAACAAAAATCCAAAAATCTTGTAATTCCTTCTTTATCAGCAAAAATCTAATAGGAGAAACCAGATATAGCTAATTTGATATTTTAACCTTGATTGAATAAGTCAACCTTTTATTACTTCCCTGAATTGTTAAGAATCTTAATTTTAACCCCTTTAATAAGATTCTCAGAACTTGTGTTTTGATCAACTTTTTTAAAGCTAAATTTTTTTGAAAATTTTAATAGACTTTTCATGCAATAAGTAAAGCTTGTCCTCTCACACTTTTTTTTGTCTCTTCTCATAAAATTCTTCAAGATCTTAACTCTATTCTTTTGTAGATACAGTAAGAAAAAGCTATCCAAATCATTTTTCTAATTTAACAGTTGTACATTTCCTTTAAGGGAGTAAGATATTAGTTTTGTTTCAGTATTTGGTACATCTTTCTCCATATCCTTTTCATTGATTTAAGCCCACCTTCAAATTAATTTCAAATTTAACTGTTGTAGCTTGTTCTTCTGTAATTTCATTGGTACATGTACTACCTATCACATCAAGTAATTTTACAGACCAGTATTCAAAAATATCTATTGAGGATTTTTGTTCCATTTTAAATTTCTTTGTAAACAATACAAATTTTTTACTGTATATCTCTCCCTTGTGTCAAAGTTTCAAGGTTTTCCATTATCATGTTTTTTCTTTAAAAAAAACCCAAACAATCTCCATTTCCCACAGGAATGATTCATCTAATAAATTCAAAACTATGATTCAAAATCCATCTGGACCCTTAATTTGTTGTTAACTTTTCAATGTCCATGTTCTAAGTATCCTTGTTGGTAATAAAAAAAAGTTAGAGCTTTTAAAATCATATTGAAACCATATTTCTTCCAGAAGACAACTCACCTGATGAATACAGTGAAACTTTGCCAAGTTGAAAAGTCTTAATTTTTCAGTACAATAAAAAAAATATCCAAAAGTGAAGGAAAAAATGAAGCTGAATTGAGCTTTATGTCCTTAAAAGGGTATATTACGGTATAGGATTAATGGAATCCTCAACTCCCAGCCATTCAATTCATAAGCCAGTTGCAAAATAAAATTCCCTTCAGCCTATTTACAAAGAGTTACTATCTGGACTTTCTCAGTGATTTTTCTTCCTCCAGAGAAGTTCCACCAATCTGGATCCAACATTCAGCTCCAGTTCTCAACTTTTTTTAAAAAAAATCTAGCAGCTTGTACTTTAGTTCATCCTGTATATTGATCTGTTACATATTTTAAGGTATTTTAAATTTTGCATGCAAGTGTACTTAGGGTAACTCTCATAATTAAGATCTTATTTTACAGCGGTGGAGAATGTTTACAAAAACCGTGAACCAGTCCCTCACCTGAAAGCCATTTATCTTATTACACCTACAACAAAGGTCAGTTTCCAGAAGAATAATTCTTCATGGTTCTTTCTTATTCTTTTTTTTTTTTTTTAAGCAATCCAGAAAAAAAAGAAGCAAGAAATTTTTGGGCAGTTAATTTAATTTTTTTTAATAATGCAGGGAATGAGGGTGCTAAACATAGTTCTGGTCAAAACATATCACAGAGCATGGTAGCCATTCCCAAGATCTGTCACTTGACTCAAGCCCCCTATACTTCCTATGGAGGGGAATTCTCTGCAGTATCTGGAGATGTCTAGGTTGGTTGGACAAGTTTAAAAAATCATGCCTAATGTTACTAGTGCTCTGCCATATAAGTCTGTTTCTCCTTACTTTATGTAGGGATCATGACATTACATTATGGTCACATAGTTATGTACTTGCTGACTGATGGCTTAAGTTCCAGTTTAAGGTCTATTCAAGCCTGGTCCTTTCTTGACAATATGTTTAGATGCAGCAATCGGTAAACATAGATTATTATAGGAGTTTTCTGTCTTTTTTATTTTCTGTTTGAATGCCCTACATACATTATTTGTTTGTTTGCTGTAGAGTCATAGATCCTACTACATCTCTATAACCTTACAAAAGGTATACATTGCTACTTCGCATCATGTGCTGATTACATAGAACAGGAGTGTCAAACTCAAGGCCCGGGGGCCGGATCTGGCCCACAAGGTGCTTAGATCTGGCCCAAGGGGATGTCCTGAAAACAGTAAAGGAGTGGGCTGTGGTGCCTCTGCAGCCCTCCCGAGATCCGTTTTTGCTGGCAGAGGGTTGCCGGAGGCTGTTGCAGCTGAAAATGGAGCTCTTGAGGCCCGTGTGCAGCTCGCCCAAGCTCTGTTTTCGCTGGAAGAAGGTTGCAGGAAGCCGTCGCAGCCAAAAACAGAAATTGGAAGCCCGTTTTCACTGGCAGAGAGCTCGGGCCACCACAAGCACCCGCAACACGAATGACATTAAGCTGGCGATGCCACCCCAGCCACACCTACCCTGGCCACCAGAGGTCAAACTCAACCTTATTGCAGCTTTCATGAAATCGAGTTTGACACCCCTGACATAGAATAACATGATAATGTAGAGGACCTGCAGTTAAGGAGAGAATTGATGGAATTTAGGGCCATGTTTTTATATCAGTGAAAGATGTCTGATTTCAATCCTATGCTAAATTCTACACATAATACTAGATTTAATTGTGTCTCAAGATGTTTTTCAGCTATGCCTTTCAACAACTGTCATCATTGTCTCTGCTAATTGAAACCCCTGGGTGATAGTTCAGTAACATGTGGAGGGCCCGTAATTTCATTCCTCCCCCAATGTTAAAAACATAATTTGATACTTATAGCCCTCAATTTGCAAAAGTAATTAATCCCACAATTATGGTTGTAAACCATACTGATTGTTAAGTCATGTGATTAGCTTGATTTTATGACTTTTTTTTCAACACTTATTAAATGAACCACCATAGTAGTTAAGCAAACATCATAGTCGTTTAAGCAAACCCATTTTTTGCAGTGGGCATTTTTTGCAGGAAGCTAGATATAAGCACCAGTTTCTGGCAAAAAAATAATGTGAATTGAGGTCACATAACCATAGAATGTTGCAAACAGCTGTAAATGCAGTTTAAAACTAAAGGTAAAGATTTCCCCTATCCAATTGTGACTCTAGGGGGTGATGCTCATCTCTGTTTCTTAGCTGAGGGAGTCAGCTTTGTCGAAAGACATTTCCGGGGTTAAGTGGCCAGCATGACTATAGGGCGGGGCACACTGAACGCTTCTCACCAAAATAATACTGTTTATCTATTCATATTTGCATGCTTTCAAACTGCTTAGGTCAGGGCAGGATGCAGCTTACATCCTTCTCTCTCTTTGTATGGCATGTATTAGAGGAAAGTTCTAGAAGCATTATTTTCTCATTTTTAATTAACTAGAGTTACTAACAGTATCTAAACATAGTCCTATGGTTAATTTACATTGAGTTGCATTAACACAGGATTTTAAACTGCAATATTATCATAGCTTGGTTTGTACAAGTGCTCATTGTAAATGTGTTGTCTTTCCCCCTTTTATGTATGCTGGTTTTTCATTTAAATGTAACATCACCCATTGCAAAACATTAAATGTATGCTGGGTTTTCCATACAAATAAACTGTATAAATGAATAATACGTTTACAAATGCTCTTGTTCGTTTGCCAGAATTTTTGTGTTCTTCCCCCTCCCCATCTTCCTCCTGACCTTGAAACTCCTTGCATAAGGAATAATAACCTGAGTATTCATATCAGACTTATTTTAACGGTTTCTCAACTAGCTAACTAACTAGTAGAAAAGTTGGGTTAGAAGAACGTAATTTATTAAATGTTTTTTTATAGATTTGTTCGAAGAATAAGCAAACAAAAATAATTTTTTTCTTCATGATTCAGTCTGTAGATGGACTTATAAATGACTTTGCAAGTAAATCATCCAAGTACAAAGCAGCCTATGTCTACTTCACTGACTGTAAGTATTTACAGATTGAAAAATAACTGATCTCCAATTATAGTTGTTGGTGCAGATTAGACAATGGTATTTTAATTTACTGTTAAAATTGGGTGAGGGTGATTAAAACAAGGAGAAATTAACTGTTTGTAGATTATCAGGGTGGTACTAGATTATGGGAGCTTCACATGACACTGAAGAAATTATTTTATTTGGGAAATCTAAACACTTCAAGCATGAGTCATAAGGGTTTGCATGTTAGCTTGGAACAATAGTTGTATGCAGAAGAATTTACTTTCGTTTCCTGCATAAGATAGTATTGGCTACATTCTGCTACGCTTAGGATATGAAATTCTTTGATAAACCATAATATTCCAGTATGAAAATAATTGATTAAATATTTTAGTCTGCAATTTGGCCTGTTTTTGCATTTAAACTATAGGTAGTCCTTCACTTAGCATCATAACAGAGTCCAGAATTTTGAAGTCATTAAAGTCATAAGTCGAGACACTACGTGACTGTTTTCAAGACAATTATTAAGCGTATTACCATAGTCATTAAGCAGTTGATATGTCATAAGTCGAAATCCAGGTTATTGAAAGGTGTTTTTTGCAAGAAAATGGCAAAGAATGTTGCAAAACATGATCATGTGACCACAGTACACTGTAACTCATAAATCCTGGGTGCCAAGCACCTGAAATGTGATCACATATTTTCAGTAGTGGTATGGCAGGCGTATCTTCAGTGATGGGTTGTAAGTGACCTTTTTGAGTCCATCGTAACTTCATTCTTTAAGTGAGTTTTTGTAAGTCAAGAACTATCTGTAGTTTGCAACTATGTATGGAATATTTTACATAAACTCAGTAGCCCTGGAAAAATGTGATATTTTCAAGAGATATTTGAGTATTTTTAACTTACAGAGTGAAGCATTTTACTTGTTGCAGAAAAACTGAAAACATGTAATATATATATATATATATATATGTATTTCCCATTTTAGTTTGTGATGACAAACTTTTCAATAAAATGAAGTCATCTTGTTCAAAAGCTATCAGAAGATGCAAAGAAATTAATATTAACTTCATTCCTAATGAATCTCAGGTAAAGTTAATACTCTAATTCTTTATTTTATTTTTAAATGTTATATCCATTGCAAAACATTAAATGTAGCTAAATTGATTGCTTTGAGGTGAGACTATATTTTTGCAAGACTACAAAATAATTTAAAATTATGAAAAATATATGAACTTACTCAAATCACATCTGTAGACCTATTTTTCTCATAAAAACATATTTTTAGCATTATACAAAACTAATTATATGTCTAATTATAATAAATGGTTTCCTTATGTTCCTTTTAGATTCTTTTTAAGATCACAGGGAAGAAGCATTGTATAGATAACATCTCTTCTCTGGGCCCCTCCCCATTTTTCATTAGCTGAAAAACAATGGAAAATTAGGGATTGGTAAATGTATTTACATAGTGGTAGAAGCAGTTATTTCACTGGGCTTATTTTCAAGGTCAGCTGTATTATATTGCAGCCTTAATGTGCATTTTGTTTACCAGAAAACCTAACTTGAGTTTTTATGGCTATGTTTTTTTTAAACTAGAACTGCAAGAGTGGTTCTTATTTGGCATATGTATTCTTTAAATTTAATATTTGTCTATACTTATTCCAAGGAACTCAGAGTATTATATTACTATGGTTGCCCACCTATTTTGTTCTTACAACAATTTTTGAGTTACATGAGAGTGATTGACCTACAAATAACTTGTGAGAGATTTCCCTGCGAATGGAATTTTAAATCCTGATTTTAGTATATGTTTCAATTATTAAACACAAATCTCTTGACAGTGAGGAGTAATGCATTAGTGAAAATAGTATATTTTCTGAAAATATTTGGCCTATGATTATCTCTACAGTAAAATTATTCCATAGTTTACCAATATTGTAATTATGAATCAGATAAAATACAGTTAAGTGCAAAGCAGTGCTGATGATGACTGAAGAACCTTTTAAGAATCTCCGTTTTACTTGAGAGTACCAAAGTTGTTTTGCATATAATATCCCACTGTAATATACCAACCAGAATGCCTTATTTCAATGCCCTGAGACACTGAGGGTCTGGATTGGGAAGAACAAACTATGATTCAATCTTAAGAAGATTTAGCTATTGTGGACTTTGAGACTGCTAAGGGAGGGGCATCTTGGACTCATAGCTCCTGTTGGAGAAGCAGATTGCAAACATGGCTGCAAGAGTCCTGGCACAAATCCACCTTTTGCATCAGTTGCACTCATTCTTGAATGAGAAGGCTCAGCTCATGTTCATTCATGCTTTAGTAACTTCCTGATTGCATTACTGTCATTCACTCTATACAGGGCTGCCCTTGAAAGGTATTCAGAAACTCCATCTATTCCAAAATGTAGGAGTGCATGCAGTCTCAGGTACATCAAGGCTCACCCATGTGACCTCACTGCTGAAGTGATGGCTCCCAGTATGCTCCTCTATTCAATTCAACGTGTCTATTATCACTTTTAAAGTCCTGCACAACATGGGGCCAGGCTACTTCTCTGACTCCAGTGGTCTTAACCTGTCATGCCAGATCTCAAAGATAGCCATGCTCTGGATCCTTCTCTGAAATAGTCTTCTAATGGACTTCAGGAAATGTGTTTCTTTTGTCACAGTGCCTTTGTCCATGAAATCTATATGGTTCCGATCCTATTGACCTTCCATAAGACCTGGCTTTTCCCCTCAAGTATTAGTACCAGTATATTAGCAGAACGTAAGATGTATATTTTAGTATTGTGAGTTCTTCTTTGCTTGGGACCAGGTGCCATCCATCATTGTCTTTAAAAATATCCATAATAGAGATTACATTAGTTTGTCTTTCTCCTGTATGTTTGACCTATATTTCTCTGATACTTTTGACACTGTATAGACTTAACAGGCTGTAATAAAACTGTTTCTTGACTTAGGTATTTACTCTTGATGTCCCAAATGCCTTCTACCGCTGTTATAGTCCCAACATAGAGAAAACAAATGATAATGCAATGGAGCAAATTGCTGAGCAAATTGTTACCTTATGTGCTACTCTAGAAGAAAATCCAGGGGTCAGATATAAAAAGTAAGTCTGGAAGCAGTTTTTATACCATTGCCGGTTTATTGAGGGTTATATTAGCTTAATAGAAATGGGATTCCATGCCTAAGCAATTTGGAAGCGAAGTATATTATTCTGGAATGTGAAAAGGGATCTTAAATTTGTTGTGCATTTGTTAAACTTCTATACCACTGCTTTCAAAATCCACTGAATGTGCAGAAGAGTGAGTTCTATTGTCAAGTTATGATGTAAGTGAAAAGCTTTTTTTTTGACTGTCAGGAAATTCAGGACTAGTTGGGGCCAGGGAGAGTTTTGTACCAAAAGCAAAATACTGGGTGGAATTGTTCATTCAGATTCCTAGGTTTCTGGTGTCATCTTATACTTCTTAACATTTTTTGTTTTCCAAGTTGTGAGGTTTGGTTTAGAAAAATGTGTCATCCTACTCAAGTGGCTGATGAATAGTACTTCTGTGCCTAATTCCATCCTTTCAACTCATCTGATTAACAGCAAATAGCTACAGTTAAATACCAGAGCAGTTGACATTTACTGGTAGTTCACAACTTGTGACCTTCGTTCAGTGACCATTCAAAATTATGAATGACCAAAAGGAGTGATGACACTAGCCTGAAGTTATAGCCACTGCAGCACCTCCATGATCATGTGATAAAAATTCAGGCACTTAACAGTATTCCTGCCTTTATGACTGATGGGGCATTGCAACTCCTGCATGCTTATTTCTGTCCCATCTAGGCCACCCTGCACAGTGGTACTCAGCAGTAGCAGCATTTGTCCCTGCTGCCCAGCTGACCTTCAGCGCCTCAATCCATTCTCCAAGCTGGTGGCCCTTTCCCTCTGCAAGTGGGCTTCCTTTCCCCTTTGCAACCAGACTTCTCTTAGCTTTTGCAAGTAAGCGTCCCTTTCTTTTGCAAGCCATTAGAAACCTTCTGGTCTTCCCCAGTTCTTGAAAAAATGGAATGGGTGGTTTTGGAGAACAACTGGAGCCTTGTTCTTGTGTTGCTTTAAAAGCATCACTCCCCGTATTGCATGTGCCCCATTTCTTATGCACATTGTGAGGGCTTACAGATAAAATGGGATGCCTCCTAGCAGAAACCAAGTAAACTACCTTGCAGAGAGAAAAGAAAGCCGGCTTGGAGAACAACTCAAGGCAGTGAAGTTCAGCCAAGCAATGGGGCAGCTGGAATTGCTGCCACTTGTGCTTCTATATAGAGTGACCAGCTGTTCTGAACCAAACCCTTTTCCAATAAAACAAACACAAACCAAAGGGAACAGAAACCTTTTAATGATTCTTACGAATCCCCGGTTAAAAGGCTGCTGCAAACTAATTAACTTTGATAAGTACAAACCTCGCCAAAACTGTGCGAGGCTGCCAAGAATAACAGATAAGAAATATTTTACAACACAAAAGTCTTCAAATACCAACTTAAGATATTGCAATGTCCACGAGGCTCGGGTTTCAAAACGTCTTTGCTTCCTACAAAGAACATTCGCTTCATAGCTGACTTTTATCTTCTTGAAGGAGGGGCCATTACCTTGCAGCCTTACTCCCAAGTCTCCCATGCTACTGCAGCTGCTCTTTCCTGCGAGCAACCCTGCGTGCGTGCGCACTTGGCACAGGCTCCTCGGGAACCTCCTCATTGCTGCTGCCAGCCCCCACAATCTCTGAAGGCAGCAGTCCACTTCCTAATGGTCCTGGCTCCTCATCTGAGTCCTCGCTCTCCTCAGCTGTCCTCACCTGCTGCCGGCTAACCACAACACCAGCAGAGATGGGGGGAAGTGCTCCTTACTTGGGACTTTTTCCACTTGACAACCCAGGAGATAGCTTGCAAATCACAATTAAGCATGCCAGACTTGCAGCTAATGAACAAGGCAGCCATTGGGTGCCTCACCACAATGATTTACTATAGTAATTCCAGGCTCAATTGTGTTCATAGGTCAAGGGCTATACACTGTAGATTGCCCCACCTGTTACCTTTCAAATAAAGTTCTACACATTTCCTAATTTACAATTTAAATTTGAATAGCACTAATCTGTACAGTCCACACTGGTTTAAAGCAGTTTCCAGTGCATAAATATGTAGTATTTTTGCACGACAAATTATTCCAGCTACTGAGTGAATGCTCTTTTAAAGATCCATTAATGACCTAATAATGTTAAAGAGAAATACTTGCATTTTTCAGTAAACCTTTGGATAATGCCAGCAAGCTTGCCCAGCTAGTCGAGAAAAAGCTTGAAAACTATTATAAAATTGATGAGCGAAGTCAAGTAAAGGTAAGGTGAAAGCTCAGTTTTTTTTCAAATGATAATAAATAGCTTCTTTCTCTCAATCTTTAGGAAGTGTAGATGGGCAAGAAAAGTACTATTACTGTAGCAGTTTTTATTGAATAGTTTTGACATATACTCTTAGAAAAGAGTTTTTGCTCCTCTATCAGTGGAATATGAAATTGTACTCATAGTTAAGAAGCTGCAAAAAAAACCAAACCCAAGCAAAAACAACCAGCTGGGAAAAAACATAATTGCACTGTTAAGACCACTTAATGTCTGCATATAATTGCAGTTTCAATTTAAAGAAAACTGGCTTGGGGATAGCACCAGTCTGAAAGAACATACAAGGGTTCTTCATAGAGAACGGAATGGAGTATCAAATCCTGTTCTCTCTGAATATTATTTTCATTAGCGTGTTGTGGGTAGTAAAGGAACATACTGGTTTTGCTGTCTGATGTCTTCTGGACATTAGTTTCCATTGCTTTCATTTCTAGTCTCTGCTTTCTCTTTGCTTGGGACAGCTATGTAGGAAAGAGGCTTAGCACTTTTAGAGAAAATTGTACATTAAATTTTAATCAACTTTCTGTTCCTCTTTTTCTGTATTGCCAAAAGGTATGTCAGGGTTTCTTTGTTTTTTGTTTCAGGGCAAGACTAATTCCCAGCTGTTAATAATTGATCGTGGCTTTGACTCTGTGTCTACTGTGCTTCATGAGCTCACTTTTCAGGCAATGGCTTATGATCTACTACCAATTGAAAATGATACATACAAGCAAGTATAACTTTATTTTGATCTTTATATACTGATCACATTTGTAGCTTCAAACTGTAATAGCTTAAAGATGCATAAGTAAACATACAATTTTATATTCAAGCTCTCTTTGTTTATCCTTTATTATCTGAATAATATCCCAAGAAGTAAAATGCTTTGTGGTGCAATCTGACTTTTTTTCTTTCAAAAGCGGGGCTGGGGATATTCTGGCATGCTACTTATGGTGGAAACTTAGCAATTTTTCTCATTTAAAGAGCAATAAACCTATGGTAGGTTCTACACTGGAGGCAACAGAAAACTTTCTGCCTACATGATGAGAGAATATTATGGGAACCCTTTAGTACAGGGGTCCCCAAACTTGGCAACTTTAAAACTTGTGGACTTCATAGCTGGCTGAGGAATTCTGGGAATTGAAGTTCACAAGTCTTACAGTTGCCAAGTTTGGAGACCTCTGCTTTAGCACAATCTGCTACAATCTGAGCATCTAACTCAGGGGTGGGCAACTATGGCCCTTCTATGAATTATGGACTTCAACTCCCAGAATTCCTGAGCAAGCCATGCTTGCTCAGGAATTCTGGGAGTTGAAGTCCATAATTCATAAAAGGGTCATAGTTGCCCACCCCTGCACCAGGGGGTCTTTCAGCTGTCTCTCCAGGCGGTGAGTGGCTTCCACGCTTAGGTGGAGTTACACAGGTAGCCCTCGGCTTGCGACCACGACCCGAAATGTTATGTTGCTAAGCGAGGCGGTGGTTAAATGAGTTTTGCCCCATTTTTACGACCTTCCTTGCCGTCGGTTGTTAAGTGAATCACTGCAGCGGTTAACTTAGGAGTGCGGTTGTTCAGTGAACCAGCCTTCCCTCCCCCGTTGATTTTTGTTTTGCGGAAGGTCGCAAAAAGGGGGATCAAGTAACCTTGGGACACTGCAGCCGTCGTAGGTATGAGTCAGTTGCCAATAATCTGAATTTTGATCCCGTGACCATGGGCGATGCAGCAACGGTCGTTAGTGTGAATGAGGCCATGAGTCCCTTTTTTCAGTGCCGTTGTAACTTGGAACGGTCATGAGCTGTTGTAAATCAAGGACTACCTGTATAGGTAGCCCTCACTTTATGACTAAAACTGACCCTGAAATTTCTCTGCATGGGCCATGACAACATGGCATTCCATCAGATTGTCTGGTTTTTATCGGTGATGCGGTTGTGGGGCCAAAGGTTTCCACCAACTTCATCTATTTTTATTATGACGTTGGTTGGTTGCACAGTCAGATGTTCCGACTGGATTTGGGCATTTTTTGTCCACCCACTGAGACCTTCCAAAGACCTAGAATAGACAGGTGTGAATGTTTTAATAATATTAAAGGCTTTGTGGCAGGATGTCAGCCGTTCCAAGCAAAGCTGCCTTCTGCAATTGACTGGTGATGAATTTGTCAATTCCGATGGAGTTCAAGTGGTGCTCCCCCACCCATCCAGATGTTTAGATAGCATTTGGCATGTTTTTTTAAAAAATTACCGTAAGTTTTTATTGAACAGACACAAAAAAGAAAAAGACATTTAAAAACAATGGATGTGGTGCAATCATCCTGACACACCTAGTTGTCTTACATTGCTAATTCATATAAAGAATAATACATTTTATATACATAGTATATAATATATACATAAACGTTAATCGTTTTTTATATTTTTTTATCCTTCTTAGTTTCCAACCAGTGATACTTTCCCCATATTTTGTAGTAATCAGAATCATCCTTATTTTTTTAATTCTTGTGTCAATTTATCCATTTCTGCACAATTCCAAATTTTCCTAATTATTTCTGTTTCACCTGGAGTTTCTTTACCTTTCCATTTTTGGGCATAAACTAATCTTGCAGCTGTGATTACATGAATTATTAAATATATTATATCTTTGTCATATTTTCCCACTTTTCGTGTCCTTCCAAAGGACCTAGAATAGACAAATGTGAATGTTTTAATAATATTAGCAGTCTCATGGCAGGATGTAAGCCATTCCAAGCAAAGCTGCCTTCTGCAATTGACTGATGGTCAATTTGTCAATTCCGACGGAGTTAGACTGCATTTGGCATTATTGACTACCTGTCAAGTTATTCCCAAGCACCTGGGATAACCAGATGTTGTTTAATAAATATTTCGTGGCAGGATGTAAGCCGTTCCAATCAAAGCTGCCTTTTGCAATTGACTGATGGGGGATGTGTCAATTCCGATGGTGTTCAAGTGGTGCTCCATTCGTTTTGGGATTGCACTCAAGATGCCTGACACTTTGGGTACTACTATTCCTTTCTTTTGCCCTAGTCGTTCTGTTTCTGTTTGTGGGTCTTCTCTTTGTGATCTTCTCCAGTTCTTCCTCTTCTCTTCTGCCGCCACATCTACTATCCAGACTTTTTGAGTCTTTCATATCAAGAAAGTTTTGTGGCAAGTTTTGTGCTATCTGTTTCAATTCTAAAATACCAGAGCAATTTAGCTTTTATGAGTGAATTTACTCTTCCAAACTTTCGGATTCATTCTGGAGACCATCCTCAGTGAATTTCTGTCTAACTCTGTGTGCTTTGGGCTATTTTGTGTGTGGCTTATATGGTGCCTGTTATGTGTGGCTTTTTAGTTTTGGATTGGGGTGTTGATGGCCGGCTATTAAGTTGTTGGCTGTTGTGTCCTTGTGCTGCCAAGCCCTCACCCCCTAAATACCTGGTAAGTTGTTGGTAAATGAGCACTCCTGTTGACTGATAAGGGGCCTCTTTCCCAGGCTTCAATTACTTCCCCGGCTGTTTTTGTACCTGCTCTTCCAACAATCTTACTACCTGCAAAATTGAATGTTGATGGCTTTGTTCATGACAAATGTTGATGACAACATTCACAACTGTATCTATTTTGTGGTCCCACCAGTTCCTGCCTGCAGGCAAATGATATTTCTTGCTTATTTTATTTTTGCTACCCTGTTTTCCCGAAAATAAGACTTATCCCAAAAATAAGCCCTAGCATGTTTTTATGTGTGTGCATAATAGAGGCCCTACCCCACCCAAAATAAGCCTTACTTCAGTCGGCTGCCTGCCCTTTCCATCCGGTTGCTTGCAGTGCTGTGGCCACAAGGCGGGGTGGAGGTGGTGAAGCCGCCTCATGCACCTCGGCACTGGCTTACCTCAGGGCCTCCGCAGCCAGGTCATCCACGCTCCAACACCTGCCGCACAGCGGCAGCAACAGCCTGAGCCCACGTGGCCCACATGCTCACTTCTTCTGCTTGCTCACAGCCGCAACAGAGCGGGAGGCAGAGTGGTGTGCTGGTGTTGGTGCCACGGCCACAAGGTGAGGCAGGTGTCGAGGCGTGGATGACCTGGCTGCGGGGGCTCTGAGGTAAGCTGGTGCGGGGCACATGAGGCAGCTCCAGCCCCCTGCCTCATGGCGGCGGCAGTAGTGCACCACGTGGCCTCCTGCCCCCTCTCAAGCAAGCACAAGAAGTAAGTTTCTTGCAGAGGTGGTATTCATAGATTCTAACCAGTTCTGGAGAACCAGTAGCGGAAATTTTGAGTAGTTCGGAGAACCGGCAAATTCCACCTCTGACTGGCCCTGCCAACCCCATCCCTTCTCTGCCTCCCATTGAGTCCTAGCTGATCGGCTGGGCCTTCTTTGGTTGCCCTGCGGAGGAGAACGGAGCTGGAAAGCAGGTTAGTGGGGTGGGGAGGAATGGAAATTTTACAGTAACCTTCCCCTGCCACGCCTACCAAGGCATGCCCGCCAAGCCATGCCATGCCCACCAAGGCAGGCCCACAGAACTGGTAGTAAGGTTTTTTTTTGAATCCCACCACTGGCCTTTTGTACATGAGGAAAAAAAATAAGACATTCCCCGAAAATAAGCCCTAATGCTTATTTTGCAGACATGATATTCTTCCGATTAAAATCGGAATTCCGATTTTTTTGGGAATCGCCCCCCCCCCCCCCCCCCCCC